ATTCCTATAAGTTGCCACTGCTCCTACTAAATATGTCGTTAATTTAACTAATGTAATGGAGTTAAATAATTTAACTTAAGAAATGTATTAAATTTGACTAAAATTTAGTTTATTTTTTATTATGTGCACGTTAATGTAACCTTTGTTTTAATAAAAAAATGACAATATTGTTTTAAATGGGTTGATTAGATGTGGTTATTTTTTTAAACACATGTTTTGTGTTAAAATAGTAAATTTTGACACACATAATAGTCAAAAACAACTAAATATTATTTAACTCAAGAAATTGGTTTAAATTTGATCTTCCAATATTTAATAGTGTACAGTAACTGGCATATTTTTAATAAAAATTGACTTTTGAATCAAAATTGAACTAGAATCAATTTATTATATAAATTCAGTGAAATAATTGGTAAACATCGATACGAGAACATCACGCGATGAAAATTTAACACTTTTTTGTATAAGTCTATATATCTAATAAATCTAATGTTATATATAATTCAAAGTTAAGTAATAAAAAACTAGTCAACTAGTTAAAAGTTATCTTATAACATTAATAACTTTTAACTTAGTTCAGCTATCTTTAGGTGAGTAAACTTAAATTGGGTATTTTAAAATTAATTAAATAAATTTAATTTATTATTTTTTAACATAAATTAAAATAATTAATTAATAATTTAAATTTAAATTTAAAACAATTTAATTAAAATAATTTACCTATATTAAAATCAGTCTGTTTATAATGTAAAATAAGAAAAATCGAAATATTGCCAGAGCAGAACTTTGTTCCGTTTCTGTGAGCATTAATTCTTTTTCTGTGTAGAATCTTGAACAAAACACACTTGATATTTTCTCATAAAAGATTAACTTCTTTTATTATTTTAATAAATTAAATTATGATTAAAAGATTACTTATACAAAAAATATATATTATTTTATGTAATTAACTTTTAACTTTAATAAGTTAATTTAATTTTATCTTAACTTTTAATTAAGTCAATGTTTGTTTATGTAACATTTAACTCCACGAAATTAATTTTTTAAATCTTAAACTTAACATTTAATTAAAAAAATATATATTATTTTACCCACAATCCTATGTTAATTATGCTAACCATGTTTACATCTTATTATTGGGAACGTCAACCTTAAGTTGAAAGCTAAGATTTCGACTGGCTGAAATCTTAGTTGTTTAGTGGAAATCTCAACTTTTGCTTAGCTAATGAAGGGACATATCAACGAATCAATAATCGATTTTCCCTTGAAATGATCGGTTTGTGTTAGAATCGAATAGGAAAGAATCGATTAGGGAACATCGATCTCTAAGAGAGGAGCGATTTTCGAATCGCGTAATCGCACATTCCCACCATAAATTTCCAAGTCGGGTCGCATTCTCGCTGTCGCCGTTAACTCGCACACCTTCCTCTTTTGCAAGACCGTTATCATTGCCCACGCGATCCTACGTCGTCTATGTGTCATCGGAGAAATCAGGAGAAGCTCAATCTCTCCCGGCCACCTTCTTCGCTTCGAAATGGATTCGCTGAACACGCGTCGCACCGTGCAATTAATTAAACGGCAAGTCGGCGCTAAACGTTAGATACGGTCTTTATCAGCGCTCCTTTGTATTTAAATGAGCCGTTGCGCGCATACAAATGGAACGCTCACGAGTCGCATCGTCGTGGATAAATTAATCGCGGCGAAAAAGGTTTTCGTGTCGCACATTGTGTCCCTTGAGAGACGCTCCGGTGAGTCTTGGTCCCGAACCACGGGGATCTCGCCTAATTTTCACCTTTCTACTTACCCAGCTCTACCTGCCTGCCAAATCTACCGATCCTCAACTGCCTACCTTCATCCTGGCGTACCCTAACCAGCCACGATGCAAGTTCTTTCTTCTCAGCAGTATCGATTGTCGCGTTTTTATTCATTTTGTCACGCATTCAGGCGAGCCCCAGCGAAAGCCCGCAGTAGCTCGTGAAACCGTGTCGGTCATTTTGTTTTCGCATTCTTCCTTGGCCGCAAATGAATTGATCGCCTTCCCCCCCTACTCCGCTCTCCTCGCCTCTGCTTCCTCTCCTCATTCCTGTCCAAAAAAGCCGTCATTCGCAAAAATATCGTTTTATATCAGAACTTTCGACGGTTGAAAAATGTCGTTCTATGTCAGAACTTTTTCCACGATGCTTTATCGTTATGCGCGATACGATTCGCGCTTTGAAAAAGTGAATATCGCCATTTATTACTGTGGCACGTGTCATAACCCCTTTCCCTCCCCACCATACCCTCCTTCCGACTGAAAAAGAGGAACTCGTGAGTTAAAATAGAATCGCCCTGTAAAGCTATAAATTCCTGATCTACGATATCGAGAGCACGAGCTTATCTTTATTGGCACGTTTTTCTATCCGCACTTTTGGAGGAACGGCCGATCGATTGGCGTGTCGTCGTACCGGGCGTGCCGGAACGCCGTGAGAAAATATTGCGATCGCGCGTTATGGAGATTAAGGTAGCATCCAACATCCGGGAAAATGTGCCGGCACGAATACATCACGAGAGCGACGGTAATGCGTCATAATCTGTCGCACGATAATCACATCACGCGTATATAAATCTATATATTATCAACGCATCAACGTAATACACGGCCTCGTTTTACACCTACGTTACCACGACCGAATTACCGTAATACACGCAGTAACGGATCGCTCCGCGCCCCCTCAAAAATATGTCTGAAGATCAATATCTTTCTCTCGGGGGTAAATGGGCCCCGCCGTTCTGAAGGTCGCACACTACATCAAAATCGACCATACCGTACGAATTAATAATGTATGCTCGTATCATGGTAGTGCGCGTGAAAATTGTGGCCGGCACCTATACGGCAAAGATATGACGCATAAGGGAAGTCTTTGAAAGACTGAAAATTGTATTGTATCGAAGAAGAAAAGGATCCCGAGAGAAAAGAGGTGCTTTTATTAATTGCGAAAAACACTCACTCTCATGTAGCGAAATGCTTATTCTGTATGTTGATGAAATGTATTTCTTCATTTAAGGTATCAAGTAAGGTTAGTTGTATCGTAGTTTAAAAAATATAATACTGAAATGTCTTTTAGTAATGTTAACACGTTCGCTTATGCTCAAATATGATTTGATAATGTGACTTACTTAAATTCAAACTCAAACTTGGTTTGATAATGTGAACATAGAAAAAAGAACGATGGGTGAAATTGGTCAACTTTTGCCTTAAAAGTATAATGTAAATTATACTATGTAATTTTTTATGATTTTTGGGTTGCTGAATATGATGGTAGCATTTTTATCCGTCTAAATCCGTAGAAAAATGATAAAGATTCGTCCTATATATAAAGAGATCGAAATAAGTCACATTTAATAGCAATTCGGTTAATGACAAATTTGTTTCAATTATTTAATTACAGCATAGTTTTATAACTATAATATTTTTTCATTGAAAACAGGAAATACTTCAAAATGGAGCATCTCAGAAATGTTAAATTTTCTTAAAAAATTCTTTAGTAGAATCTCTAAAGTAGTATGGAAGTCCATCATTATTTTACCATCTTTACTATTTTAACATCTTCAAAATTACACAACGTATACTTACTATACGCATACGTAACTAGTATGCAGATGCATATTTGATTTAAAATTCTTTGAATAAAAAAATTGACTATCGTTCTTAACTTTCATATTATATTAACTTCGCCATGTCAGATTTAGTACTTCTGAAGTATATACTTTTCAGTGAAGTTTTCAGTGAAGAAAGAAATAAAATAAAACTGTACAATAATATACAAATAATACATATAAATAATACACATAATAATACACATAAATATACAAATAATTAAATAATTAGAATAAAATCGTCACTAATCGAATTGTTATTAAAAGTGACTTATTTCGATCTTTTTATATATAGAACGAATCTTACTTCGATCCTTTTAAAGTAGAATTTGATCACTTTCCCACAGGTTAGATAGATAAAAATGCTACCATTTAGTATTTAGTATTCAGTAATTAAAAAAAACATAAGATTATATATATAACTTAAGTTATACTTTTTAGGCAAAAATTGATCCATTGTCCTCTGCTATCACATTTATGTGACACTAGTTTCCAATGAGAGATTATTGTGTCACATGTACGTGAACATGTGTGAACACGTGAATATTGGTAGCGAACATGTTAATAACAATTATAAAATTTCTATAAAGTTGTTCAATAATTCCTTCTCTGTCTCTTTTTCCATCCTGTGCAGTCTTTATAATTAAAGAAAAGAATGATTGTTAGTATTAACGTTGAAGAATATTCTTCGACAAAGCTGAATAAAGTTGAAATGCATCTCGAAGAAATGATGACCCAATGAAAAATTTTTTATATATAATTATATAAAATTATATATAATTATATATTATTATGTATCAAATTTGTCCATTCATGTTCATACATTCTACTTATATATATAATTATATATAATTATATATAATTATGTATAATTATATATATAAATTCATATATAATTTTACATAATTACGCATAAATTTATATGTAATTATACATATTGTTATACATAATATATAATTATATATAATTATATATAATTTTATATGATTATATATAATTATACATAATTATGTATGGACAAATTTCATAGAAAATTTTGCATGAAAAATTTTTCATCGGGGAACGATTCAATTATACTTAATTAAAAGATTCTTTCGAAATATTTTCTCGTAGCATTCTGCAACTCGTGAGATAATAGAGCTGACGAAGGACAACGTCAGTCTTTCGCTTGGAAAAAAGGATCTAATCATATGTTACGTAGATCGCGGAAAAACACGACGGTTCCGCGAGGAGTAGGGATGAGAAGCGAGTCGGAGACTCTGTGACGAGGGGGTTGAACCGTGGGGTGGCAACCCCGTGATCGGCGTGGAGGCGCTTGGTATAAAATCAGACGTCGGGTGACTGGAGATATTCAGTGTCGGTGCGATTTTAAGCTCCGCAGCATCGTTACTTAGAATCTCCAACACCAGCGATCATAGAAATGAAGGACAACTTAATTTTCGTTTTCGTGGTCCTTCTGGTATTTTCCACCTCTTTCAATCGTAAGTCAACACACCGCGGTTTCCCTCATTCTAGAGCGCCATTCGTTTTTTTTTACTAGCAATTATTTTCTTCAATTTGTTATTTTGTCGAAATAACTACACACGTGCTGGCATATATTTTTCTATCAGGTCTTTTCTATTTCGACCGCGCTCAATAAAAACACTGTAAAAACATTCTGAGATAGAGTTTCGAAAGTAGAATATCAGTGAAAATATTAATGTCACCTAGATACGTGAAGAAGATGTTTCGACTGAGAGAAATTAATTATAACTGTAGGATGACAGAAATACTTGGTTCGAACTTCGCTCTCATAAGCGAAAATATTGAGAAAACTTATGATCCGGTATGTACCTCGAAAATTATAAGTTAAACGAGTGATAACAACGAGACGTAAATTCGTCTAATATTAAAAGTCGTGCTTTTGATTGCTCCGTGCACGATGCTTTAGTTAATTCATTCTCGCCGAGACCGAAACTGGAACTCGGACGCGGCAATTCCCGGCGCGAAGTAAAAATGAAATAGGACGGGGGATTAAGTGTAAAAGGAAAAAAAGAGAAAACCGTGGCCACGCGAGGGAAGACAGTATTATGCGAGATTCCCGCAGGAAATCGCTGAGCGCCGCGGGTGCGAGTGTAAATTAAATCGTTAGGGATTATGATGTCGGACCTCTCATAGAAAAACGTCGCCGACGTCCTATCTATTTTTCAGTCGCCAGATGCTCGGTCCGCCAGCACTTCGAATACGCTAGAGGCAAGAGACTCGCATGAGTGTCGCGTAGTACCTTTCGTTATGCTTGTGTGACATTTTCTTTTTATCTCACGCGCGTTCTAACCCCTTCTCTTTTCTCTTCTCTTCTCTTTGTTTAACTCCATGTCATGTTATGCATAAACGTTAAACCGTCACGAGAGCCGTGCTACTTCTTTCAGATCGTTAAATGCTTCTCAAGATGTTCTGCGAAACTCATTATTATTTCTTAGCGTTCGAGTGTCGTCGACTTGATTTCTTTAAAAATAACAGCTCAACCGTTATCTTTTCACCCCGGAAAAATCAATACAGTCGTGGTTTTAATAAAACTGAGTTGTTTGCCGCGCAGCGTATACACGCCGGGAAATATTATAATTCGCGCAACGCTGGTACATATCTTGAATTTCAAAAATATATATTATTTCATATTCATATTGTATGTATTTTTCTTTTTTGCGTTTTTTTATGCTGTGCTTACATATAACAGATCGTAAATGATGTGAATTTTTAACGTTGCAATTTTCGAATGATTGTCAAGGCATGTGTGTGTGTGTGTGTGTGCAATAATGTAATATTTCGTTTGTTCTCTCTCCGATAATATCGTTTTCAATTTGTGAACACACAAATGTAAGCTCTCGGGAAATATCAATAATTTTAAGAGATAAATTTGTAAAAACCTTTTACCATCGATATTTTACAGTCGCTAATTTTTTTTTCTCTTTTTCTCCTCCTTCTCTCTCTCTCTCTCTCTCTCTCTCTTTCGTTTTTTGTCCTCCTTGTCGATTGTATAAAGCATTTATCGCGCAACGCGGTCGGTCACACATCCTGGAATTTCATACTCTATATTACTACTTATATCTCCACCGTCGTGATTACGTAGCCCCTATTGTACTTCCGAGTGAGTTGCGAACTAAACAAAAGTTGCGGTGGACGTATACATTAGACAAGCACTCGGACAGCTGATAGTCAAACTATGTAACGGCAACGATAGAAAGGAGTTACGATGTGGCGCGCTGTAAACTATCGCGGGCGCGAACGCAGTTGGAAATAATTTTGCGCGCGCGATATACTCTAATTGTCTCGCTCGACGTTCCAGGAGGTCAAAAGATAAAAGCGAACGACAGGCGTTCCTTCGGGCTGATACCGGTTCCTAGGACCGGCCGCAATTCGGAACTGCTGAGCCTACCAAGATCGGACCGAGCACAAGGGATGCTGCATTATCCTCGGGTCGGACGATCCGATGCGTCGGGCTTCGGTAACCTGAATCGATTTCACGACCTGTCACCCGAAACCGACGTCGAGTTCTACGCTGTGCGCGACATGGATCCCGACGCCCTTGTAGACCTTGATTACGAAGATGGAGCACGCGGCAAGAATGGTTTCTTTGGATCAGTCTGAAAGTTCGGTTCGATTTTTTTAGTCGAGTTTGACATGATCGCACCTAATGGAGAGGAAAAGCAACTACTCGCGGACCAAGTAATTGTTGTCTGTGACCCTTTTCCAGCACTCGCAGGCGGCATTCGTGTATTTCTGTCGTGGCAAGTGGCCGGCTTGTCGAGCAAGAAAGAAAATCGAACCGAAGTTCCTTATTTAACCAATATTAATAACTTCGCGTCATCTCGAATTGCACGTAGGCATTTTTGCGCGAGTGACGACAGAAAAAAAAATTATTTTATTGAAAACTCGAAAGCGCGATAATACGAACTGTCGAATTGCCGCAAAAAATTCCAACGTGTAAATGTTCCGGGGGAGAAATTCACGGATTGTCATGAATACTATTATACACCGCACGTGCGTCAGACGTGTTATTAATTAAAGTGACTTTTATCGGGTTGAATAAAACCTCTGAACAAGTACAAATGCGAACGTACAAATTTAAACGTAACAGTACACGATTTTCTATTATCTCACCGTGTCATATATCTGCAGTATTTTTTAACAAGACCATTCAGATCATTTCCTGTTGCAATACTCTAGGATCGCGTTTTTAAACGAGATGCACGTCACAAAATATACATGCAACACGATCCACACTGAGAGAAAAGATATTTAAGAAATAAAAAAATATTTTTTCGGTAGGTGCTAATTATTTTATACTAATTTAAACAATTTTTCAACTAAGAAGATACACACTCTCGTAAAATATCAGCTTTTCATGAAAACAGTTGTTTATTTTATTTAAATAAAAGAATTTAGATTTAAATAAATATATATATTGGTACCCAGCAAATAAATATCTTTTATTTATCAGATATTTTTTCTCTCAGTCTACATTTTCGCCGTCTATTTACTCAAAGTTAAGTACCAATGCTTGTACACGCATAGATCTAACTTTGGACATTCTTATTGTTTTAGTCTTTAAACATGAATATTTTAACTTGCAACGTAGAATATACATATATTCTATATTAGGAGTTTAAACATTCATATTTAGAGACCAAAACAATAAACATTCAAGATTAGATATTGGGATAAATTTTTGATTCATGACATGAGATAACCAACAATGGAAACTCTTCAAATTTTTAATTGCAATTATAAAAAATATACCATGAATTAATCATAAAATTTATATTGTGCAATAATATAAATTATGTATTACATTGACGCAGCACAACAAATTTGTTAAAAGTTGTTTTTAGATAGCCATTTTTTATTTCACATATTATTTTTTGTAAATTTTAATTATTTCTTTCGTATATATTTCTCTCTATTGTATTCTGTTTCATCATTCATCTCACGCGATAAATATGACTGCAATCGTAAACAACGCAATCTTTATTAATTGACCGGCAAAGTTGCTGGCGGATTTGTATACACCCGCCTACCTGGGTGCCCAGGCATTTTGATACTTTGATCTCACTCGTCGACTGTATCCCTTCGTACAGAGTATGCGAACAAACTAATGGCGTTGAGGCGTGCCGACAAAACACCGAGGAACAGTATCTGGCTGATAACCGACCACATGCACGGACACAAGGACCCCCGTTCGGCGCAAAAGATCGACGATTCCCGATTGTACTATTCTATTCTGCGAGGTACGGAGGAACATTAAATCTCTCACCCTTAGCAATGTTACATGCACATCAAATAGATTGCGTTGAGATTTATGAGAACGCTGTGTGTCTCTGTCACCTGACAACATTGCCGACAGCGGGGAATTTTTAAAGCGCTCGGACGCCGCTCGTTTCAACGATACGATAATCGAGTAGAGTGTCATGTAAAGGTCCGATGAACAAGCGCGATAAATGGACAACGACAGACTTTGAATGTTACAGCGGCAGAATGTTACATCTGGCGCATCGATCACATTATTTTTGCTAAATTAATTATTCCCCGGGAATGCGCGTCGCGCGGGGCTGTTCAATGGCGGTATCGACTGTCACACGTACACACACACGCGTACATACAGACACCGCGCCGCGTCGTTCTTTGACATTACGCCAGTCGCGAAGCAGCGGAGTCCGTTGTGTTCGCGCGCTCGTGCGCGTCACAGATTCATTAATCCTTCAATACGAACGGTTTAAGACGCCGCACGTGCGGCTGACTTTCTATGTGACTGACCCTTGATCTCTTTCCAGATTCTCGAAATACTCAAGGTCAAGGAGGTTACACGCCGAGATTGGGTCGCGAGAATGAGCGCGACGCGGCGAGTTTCCTGTAGGTCGTCCACTTTTTGATCGTGTGTCATTTTGATCACGTATTCGATGGATGTGTCGTTCCCGTGGGAGAGAGAGGGAGAAAAGGAATTTACCGTATCATTACCAGGACTGCGACTCGACGCTTCCGGTTGTTTCCCCACATTTTCATCGGCGAGACGCCTGTGCACTTTGTATTCCCGCATTATGCAACACAATACATGGTCTGCATTCAAGTACCGCAGTTCCTATGATCTTACACGTCCCTTGTGCCATCGCGAGCGCCGGTCTTCCCGACGAGGAAGCTCGATCGCGCGAAATTCGGCAACCTCGCCCCAGATTTTCCCCCGAAGACATACGAGCCCACCCTAGCTGATCCCACGTTGGCTCGTTTCTCTTCCTGTTTTCTTTTTGTATAAAACATTGAATGAAAATAAACGTTTGGTTAATATTGTACGCCGAGCGAGCGACTCGCGCGCTGTACATTTCCCCTAATTCAATTGAAAATACAACGCGTATTGATTCTGCGGGATTATTCAATTGTGCACATACACACGTGAACATTTCGATTTGCGCGTTATAATTAACAATACCCTGATAATTTGCGTAACAGATAATAACTAAAATCTGCCACGATATTTTTCACTCGGAAACCTACAGATAGAAAGAGAGGTAGATGGACAGATAGATAGAGCGACCGCTGTATGTGTGTGTATGTGTGCATGCGTGCGCGAGGCTAATATTATATAAAATCCTATAAAACACGAGCGAATTCGTGCTGGTTGGTTTATTTTGCGGTGTATAAACAGAGTACAGAGGAGCGATATCGCGCTTATTTCATCCTGTAACGTGTCCATTTCCCCGCCGCGAAATGCAATCTACGCGTCAATAAACGTTACAATCCGGCTGGACGAGCATAACCGGCAGATAACCGCGCGCACACGGAAGGGTTTGGGTACTCTGTGCCTGCGGCAAACGGAGTTTCGCTTGAACGAGCGCGCAATAAGACAACACAACAACAGCGACAGCAGCAGCAGCAACAACAACAATAACAACAGTGACTCGATGTATGTAAAATTCAATGGTTTTATTTAATTGACAAAGTGTTCATAATGAATATCCCATGTATGACGCGCCGGCGTGCGCGCTCGCAACGTCCTGGCCGCGCGTGGTACACGACGTAATGTAATAACAAATATGTACACACGTAGAGAGCACGTAACAAACTAGTGATACACTTCGGAGAATGAATGGGAAGATAATGAGGATGCGCGAACGATCGCACCGAGGCCCGTCGCCGAGGCCCGTCGCTCGTCGTCTCAGCGGATCGTCATAGTGTTTCTATGTACAAACGCCCCGCTATCGGATTATCTAGCGAACCGATAGAGAGGGACTTCGTGCGCGACACTTAGGTACTCTAAAAAGTTTCTCCCGCACGCTCTCATTCGTCGTCCGTCACGCACACGCTCGCCCTGGGCGCACGGCAGCTGGCCGGACACAAGCAGGCAAGGCAGGCAGACAAGCGGAACAGACAGATATTCAATAGATCGGACAGTCCTGGCCCATATCGGCTAGGTCAAATGTTCCGTATACTAATCTCGGTGACACGCCGGCCGGCCGGCCGGCCAGCCGACGGCGATGACGACGACGACGGCGGCGGCGTCGGCGGCGGCGATACCGCGCGCGTACGAGATATCGATTTGTCCGTCTCGGCAATTTGCCCGCATGCAATTCGCCAGACTGATCGGTACATCGGCCGAAGGGAAGCTAGCCACGACGCCGATTTCGATTGCACCCGCGGGAAATGTCCAATCACGACTACACTCGCACGATGTCATCTCCTCCTCGCGAGGTGTTCCGCTGTTAGTCGACAATTTACATATTCGCGCCCTCGTGGCCGGCGGAAGTATAATACGGCGACGTGTGCTGATCGTTTCGCCTGTTTCGGACTGTTTGGACGCTTCTTCAGGATGTGACGAAACCCTCAAGGCGCGAGCCGTCGTTCAGCGTGTGTTATTTCTGGTTCTTATTCCATCTTTGCCACGTCTTTAATTGCCACGTGATTAATTTGGAGGGACAGTTTAAAAATATCTCGAATATCTATGTGACGCTTTGCAAAATGCTCCAACTGCCCCCGGGGTTTCATCATCGATCGCTCCTCAAATTAGGACACTCTGAACTATTAGTTAATGCGCAAATAGGCCACGGTGGCCTGGAGGGTGAATGAAACCTTCGAGCTATGTCAACAGCCGTGTGTTATCTCTTGTTCTGCCTGTTTCACCGCGTCTTTGCATAAATAATACAACAATTTAAAGGGTAATTGGAAAATATCGCGAATGTCTTTGTGATGTATTTTAAAAGACGCAAACTGACTTGAGGGCTAATCATTGTTTCTCAGATTAGAATAGCACAAAAACTATGTTACTTAATACGCGAACAGAAGTCACAGTGGTCTGGAAAATAAAACCCTCAAGATAACTCAACCACTTTTGTTCTTACCCCTTTTTCTACGCGTCTTTGCGAGTAATGCGAAAGTTGGAAGAGTGATTAAGAGATATCACTAATATCTCTGTGATTCAATATACTCCCTCACAAGCTTGACAAACAATTGGAGAAACGATCATTGATTGTTTCTCAAACTACAACACTTTGAACTGTTAATTAATGCGCAAATAGGTCACAACAGCTTGGAGGGTGAACTAAATCCTCAAGGCTATCCATTGTGGTGTCAACCACTCAAATTAGAACACTTTGAACTCTAATTAGTGCATAAATAAGCCACAATAGCTTGGAAAGTGAACGAACCCTCAAGGTGAATCAACCACTGCGTGTTGTTTTATGTTCGTACTCCTTTTTTATCGCGTCTTTGCAAAAATTGAAAGATACCGTAAGTGTTTCTGTGATATAAGATACTGATGTTGCCCTGGGAGCTTAATAATCAATTGTTTCTTAAATTGGAGTACTTGAAATAATTAATTAATGCGCAAGAGAATTGGTCACGATAATCTGAAAGGTGAGTGAACAATCGGGGCGAATCAACCATTTATATTACCTTTTGTTTCTTCCACTTCTTCGTGCTTTATGAACAATGCAAAACTTGAAAAGATAATTGAAAAATAGTGTCTCTGTGATATCTTCCAAGATTCCCAAACTGCCCCGAGAGTTTATTCATCAATCCTTCTTCATATTAAAGCACCTTTAATACTTAACGCGCAAACAGACGACGGTTTGAGGGTGAACGATCGAATGTTCAATGGAGACAGTACAATCTACTTTATGCTGATTGAGCGCTATATGGAAATTTTGATTTGACGAATGGCAGTCAAGAGAGAATGCGATCAATATCAAGCTACAACAAGGTCCTTTCGGCGTTCACGATGTTCCTGCGACGCGCATGATGCTGCGGTGACACGTCCGTGACTAGTTCGGCATCACGCAGGACGGCTCGACGCGTCCTTGAAGCCTCACCGAGTAGCGTGTACGAACCACCTAGTCGAAGCGTACGCGCGCGCGTGTTTTCGAGGAGTCCTTGAGCGTTCCCTACGCAGTCGTATCGCGCGCTAATTGCTGTCATCCGATAATATCCGGCCGACAATGGACAATAATCCGGGTGCGCTGGTATACATCGGATGGATGTTATTAGCAGAATATTACCAATTACGAGGTCAATGCGCGACAATGTGGCGGAACGGCTCTAGGACGAAGACCGCCCTAGAGGGAGACGAACTCATGCGGCGGCTGAATGATTCGCGGCGGTGGCGGCGGCGACAGCCGCAGATCCACGTCCGTCAAGGAGAACGCGGAGCTGCCATTGGCAGTGACCCGCGGGCCCATATTGTCGTAAGGCGAGCCGACCTCGGTGCTGCGTAACGCGCGACGAGGCAGCGTGGCAAAGCTGGACACGTTGACGGTCGCTGGCAAGGCCGCGGTGGTCTTGACACCAGCCGAAATCGCGGCTGCGCCGCTCACCGCATGGACGGGGATGTCGAGAAGGTCCGGGTAACAGCGTTCCGACGAGTCCTGCGGCAACGACACGGAGATGAAGATATTGCCGAAGATACCGGCTGGCAATACACCAGTAGTGAACTCCGGCGGAGGTGGTGGGAACACAGCGGCGCAAGGGACCGCGCGAATGGCGTTCACCGCAGTTTCTGGTCGTAGCCGTTCGACGGTGACGGTTGCAGCAGCCATGGGATCGCAGATGGATCCGCGTTCGGCCAATTCGAGATCACCAGTGCTGCATGCTTCACCGAGACTGCCCTGTCCGCTACCGCGATCGTTGCTGTTGCCGGGTGTGGTGGTGGTGGTCACAGACAAGTCTAGTAGCTTCTTCTCTTGGTCGCCGAAGCTGCCGCTACCCTGCAGCTTTACCTTCTCCCGTTTACTGTGTCGGCGGCTGCCACCGCAGAGGCAGAGAGCTAAGAGCACTGCTGAGATGGAGGCGCACACCGCGGCGGCACCGCCACCTGCCAGGCTCACCCAGAGCAGCCAGTTGTCGCTCTGGGAGAGAGTTGGCGCTGTGTAGACGCGGGGTATCGCCACACTGACCGTGTCGCGAGCGAGGCCGGCGATGTTACGCGCAAAACACGCGTATTCGCCGGCGTCGCCGTCGCTGGCGTTGTACACAGTCAGATTGCTCCATCGTTCCGCGATCCTGAAGGACTTGTCGTTGCTGGTGACTGTGCCAACGACCTCGGACGTCGCATACACCACGAGGGTACCCGTGTACGGCTGGTCGGACTTGGTAGCGTTCACTGGACCGCCATTTAGCTGCCACCAGACCTCCGGCTCAGGATCGCCGGTCGCCAGACACGCCAAACTGAGATTACCGTTGGTTTCTTCCTGTATGCTGCTCGCTAAAACAAACACTTTAGGTTCGCAAGCGAATTCGACGGGTTTCACATCCTCCCATCGACGACCCGCCAATCTAGTTGGGCCCGAGCAGATCTGCGGTGTGGAGTATAGTTTACTGGGTGCGTCTGGGATCAACCAGGTGCGGAAGCCCCGCAGCCTGCAGTCGCATCGCCACCGATTGCTGTCCAACGTTAAAGTCTTCAGTTTCGATAGACTGGCTATCACTGAGGACTCCAGATACTCCAGCTGGTTGCCGTCCAGCTTGAGAAATTCCAAGCCGGTGAGGTGAGCGAACGCGTTGCCGTGTATCTCGGTCAAGGAGCACCGCTGCAACTCTAAATTTCGCAGGTGTTGCAGCACCGGGAACTGCTTATCGCATAATGTGCTGAGTGGGTTTCCACTGAGTATCAAGATGCGCAATCTCTCGTTGCCGACGAACGTGTCCGGCTCCAAGCTCGTCACATGGTTGTCCGACAGGTCGATCTCGATGAGTATCCTCATGTCCTTAAAGGAGTCCGCGTGAATCTCGTAGATTCCGGCGTTGCGCAAGAACACCCGCTGTAGGTTCACCAGGCCGGCTCGTTTGAATATCTCCGCTTGCAGCGCGGGTATCTTGTTGCCGGAGAGGTCGAGCACCTGCATGTCTGGGTCGAGAGACGCCGGCAGCGACGTCAGGCCGGCGTCAGGACACAGGGCTGACTTTTTGCCGGAGGTCCACTTGCATCGGCACACCGCAGGACAGTCGGTCCAATCCGGGAAAGCGGCCGCCCGCGACAACAAGGCGAAACTCCCGATCAGGAGAAAGAGGGCGAGTAGTATGCGCCCTCCTAGAGGGTGACGCCTTGTCACTAACATAACACCGTCCTTTTATCGGTGTACCCGGTGTCTGCTGATCCGTCTGATCCTCTTCTTGCCCTCGGGCGAGAGCAAGATGCTGGCACCACCACCACCACCGCCGTCACCACCACCAATACCACCGCCTCTGCTGCGAAACGACGACGACGACGACGACGACGACGACGACGACGACGACGACGACGACACTTCTCCGTCTCACTGGCAAGCTGTGGAACAAAGGCCTCGTGTCAAGGCGCGCCTCGTAATCGATTGTTTGTGTACCCGATACTTTGTGGCCGCCGCGGCGTCCCAGCAAGATTCGTCGCGACGGATTTATCGTTGGCCCACATCGGTCGTTTGAGCCGAGTTCGGGAAAGAAGGAGGCGAGTGCGAACCGCTATCGTCCCCGAAATAGGAATTTAATATAGGCGGAAGAATAGGACGTCAGCGTATAAAGGACGTCGCGCATAAAAGGAGAAATATTACATTGCTGGAATAACAGATAGCGCGCGACTTCGTTGGAGAATCGTTTTGAGGCGGGCGAGATGCGCGGGAACGACCGTTCATCATGGATGGTGTCAAACAAACTTGTCGCGCTTTAATCGCGAACTACTAGCCGCGAATTCGAGCTTTCGTGGGCGAGCACGCGCTCTATCGGGACGAATTTCATAATCTCGACGAACACACAAATCACAGGCAAAGGGAATGAACACGACGAGACGCGTGGGAGCGCAGCGTGTTGTCGCGAATTGGATAGAAGGAAACGGGATTCCTTGAGACAGGCAGAAGAAGATAAAGAGAAAGAAGCTTCTTATTCTTACTCGAGCGTCTCGGTAGTAGCCGCCTAAGCGTACCGTCCGCGACACTGAATGAGGCCGTCATGCTCGCGCGGACGCTTCCATTGTCTCTTAGGAGCTTTCATTTCGCAGACCTGTCCTCCGGGCGTCGCGCCGGCATTGTCAGCGGGTGCTCGGGTCTCATCCTGATTAAGCGAGCGCCATAAGTGCGCGCGGGACCTTAAGCCAATCTAGCCTCCTTTATAACTCCCGCGGCGATTTAATCTGGAAGAATTACGAGTCATGTATAAATGAGGTTCTCGACATTCGCGCGTTCAGGCATCGGTGGAGTACTTACTTGAATATTGGGGCGAATTCAGCTTTTCCAGAATACGACCTCCAGTCGTATTCGCTGATTCAACGGTGATCCTTTGATATGCAGCTCGCCGAGGTAGCTGCCGATTTCCACTGCACCGTTGAGGACAAAATCAGAAAGGGAACGCGTGTGACAAATTATCGATTATGTGAGCGATATGAATTTTAAATGTCGCCTCGGTGCTCCTCGCGGTCGGCATATTAATCAACGGAATATGCCTGTCTCGCCATATTAATCGCTGAGTCCGCTAACGGTGCTAACCCCCTCCCGCTCGACGCGACGTAACCCACCAACACAGGCACGTACACGCTTACAAACTATACACATACACACACGCGCGCACTCACAAACAAGACACTCACGCGACGGGCAGCTTACGACACTTATCATAAATTAATCGCGAGGCGCGATGAACCCGAAAACGAGTTCGTGGCACCGCGATTGGCCCCCTCACGGTGTCGAGTAGCCGGAACAGCGATTCACCGGCGGTGTCGCCTTTCGTTGGGAGGCGCGAACACGATACGACACGGCACGGTCGCGGGCTAATTGAGTTGGGCGAAAGTTTCCCGTCAAATTGGCGGCTCTCTAGTGGCAGTTCTGGTTCACCAGGCTGCACTCGAGCTGCTCCGCAGCGGCGCTCCGTCGGGTGCGAATTAACGGTGTGAATTGCGCCATTCGCGCGAAATCTCACCCTGACTCGTGGCGTTGGCCGATCCTCGACCGACCTGACGAGCGCGACACCGGTTGACGGCCATCAACCGTAGGCGCTCTCATCAGCCAGCCCTCGCGTTACGTCGCCTTGTAAACTCGAATTAACGCACGTAGCAAAGCAACAAAAAAAAGGAATTCCCGCGGATACGTTTAACCAATCACGGGACCGCTTACAGCCTCTCTTCGACCTTAAAGACGAACGTATACTGTGTCTCACTCCCGGAATTTCATCGACTCCGTATCGCGCAGCCGTTCGCACAGCTTTCTCTCTCTCTCTCCCTCTCTGTCTGTCTCTTTCTCCCTCCCGCTTACGTTCTACCTCAGCGGTCCAGCGACTCCTCGCGAATCTCACCACGACGGCTGCGATCGCGATGTAGCGCAAAGAAATCGAACACAACGGGCGGCCCTCGCCGACATGGATCTCCTCAGCATTGGAACTCCCGCGAGAATAGTCAGAGCAGCGCTCTCCTTTGCCTTCCTTCTTCCGTGACGAGTATCGTTGCGACACTCCCGACGTTGCAATACACATGCACACGCACACGCCCGTTATCAACGTCCTCGCCACGCGTACCCACCGCCGTGCACGTCCGTGTTCAGCCGTTCTCTCACGAGAGGACACCCCCCACCTGAGCAGCGAGGTCGTCGACTGGCATCGACGTCCTCCAGCGCTATCTTCTCCTCGCCGATCAATCAATCTCCGTACCGGCAAGACTTTGGCGACGATGAACACCCGCACAAGTCGTTCGGATCGGTACCCGGATCGAGCGTCGCTGGACAGTAGGAAGAAGGGTGGCACGATCGCGCGGCGATCGCTCCATCGGAGCGACTCATCCCTTGCTCGGGATCTCCGTACAAAACGACCTTGGAGGCTGCTCGGAAGGCACTCCGATATACCGTGCGCTCGGAAGATACGGAGATGGATCACGAGAGACACACCGGCACCCAAATCCAGGCCGGGTGCTCCGATGTGCTCGGTCACTCTCTTCTTGTCTTTCTCTCTCTCCCTCTGCTCCTCTATCTAATACACACTCTCTCTCTCTCTCCCTCTGTCGCGACGATCGGCCACGGAGAGCCGCAGATTTGCCGCAGCGGCCACCGACACGACGGATCTGTATCCGCGTATCCGTCCCTCTCTCGCGCGCGCACGGCGCCCTCTCCTTCGCGCCCTCCGTCTTTTACCTCCCGCTTTCGCCCTTTCCACGAGCCACCCTGCCTGCTACCTTCCCACTTCGCAACCCCGCGGCTTCTCCTCTCCGTTCCTCAATCCCTCTTTCCCTCTCTCTCGCATCCCTCAGCGCGCATCCCGTGTTGCGTTCACCCTTTCCGGTATCCTAGTCGCATAGCCATCTGTAGGCAGCACCGTCGAATTCTGGGTAGCGGTTCAATGATAGTAACATTCCCCTTCCACGTCCCGACCTCCCCCTGCCACCCTCGCGCGTCGAGACGCTCGCTTCTTCAACATTCTTCGACGAGTCCCTTCTTTGATGTACCTCGCTTTCTCACGGGGTGAGAATTCCGGCGACAGGATTACCCCGTGTACGCGTTTAAGTGAAGCGACAGAGGACGACAGAGGCGCGACAGCGGGAGTCGCGGGAAACCGGTGGGCTTGTTGGTGCAGGCGCAGTTACTGCTTCATTTGACCGAAAGGGCATCGATTTTCTCCTCTCACGGAGCCGAGAAACGTTAAGGGTACCGTTGATCGTCGCGAGCTGAGGATTAAACCTCGACTCACTTGCCAACGGATTCTGCGTTATCGACTAAGTCCTCCTCCGGATACCCACTAGCTCGAGCCAGCAGGCTTTAACTTTGACCTGGCCTACCAGTGGCGTCGCTACTTTGTTCGAAACTTTCGATGGATAAATGCTTGTACACGCGACAACATTTACAGAGGTAACAAGTTTGATGGAACGCTAGAATGAAAGTGGGTTCTAATCGGTGGATTAGGTGAAACAAGTCGAGCCGACTTTCGAGACGCGGCTGGTCGCGGCTGGTCGCGGCGTCTTTCGTCGCGGGACCACGATGGACCACGATATTGGGAGATCAGCCGGAGGACATGAGCTCGGGAAGAGACTTATGACGGGACAACGGTATAGCCGACCCCATTGGGTGAAGGCAGCGGAAATCGCTCGCTGTTCTTCTTTTTTTTGCGTTTTCAAGCTTTTATTACAAGAATATAGTATAAACTTTTGCTCGATAGCGCGCTCCGTCGCGCGTGAATTTTCATACATATAATTGCATCTCTCAAACCCCGCGCAGGCCACGATAGTCATAGCTTTTTTTTCGATAGTTTACCGATATATGTATAATAATAGATCTTACGATTAGAGCTTATCTCGTCTAACTTGTGATCTATAGGTATATCTGGGATTTTTTTTCTTGTTTAACTGGAAACATACTTGGCAATTCACGTCTAATAAGTACAACGAAGCATTTTTTTCTTTTTTTTCTTTTTTAATCTCGACCTCTCAACGCCATGGGCGCCGTCGGTCACCCTCCTCGCGTTTTCTCCGCCGCAACTTTTGTGACCTGGCGTCGCGCCTGTAATTGATATGTCAATTTTTTTTCCTTACAGCGAAGTTCCAGCTCGTTCCGGGGGGAAAAGCGTAGTTACTGCGAACGTCGACCTCACGGCAGTGCTGGGTATTATTTCCAGCTATTGGCTGAAAATGGAGACAAGGGAAGAATAATTTAATGCGCGATCGGGCGATCCTACGATTTCGTCTAAGTCCTGCTCCGACTTCTACGTGCAAAAGGAGTCACATTAACGCTTTAACGCTTTAACGACGACTCGAGAAGCATCCGCTCCGAATTGCGGTTCTTCGACTTTATTCTTTCTTTCTCTCCCCCTTTTGCGTGATCTCGTTGCAAACTAGAGCGGCGCTCGCGCGATTACCGTAATTTTACGACTAACGATGTCCCCGTGATCTTCGGAATGTATATGCGAACTCTATTCTATCGATCTGTCCAAGAGTCTGCGATTGATTTCACTTCGTACCTTTGTAATATATGTCCCTGTTCATCGTCGGACAATTCTTCGGGCCCTAAACACACACACATACACACACATGTGAGAATTAGCGGCTGATAATGCATGTAATCATGTGGGATGCGCACTTTTGCACTGTTACGGCGTACCTGAACATTAAAATCAATGTTCGTCCGCACTGGACGATGATGAAGGGGTTGCGGTGGTCTAAAGTTATTCGCAAGCGGCGCGTTCGGCTGTTTCTCGTCGCCTTGCATCAATTGCCTTAGAGCGTGTAACTGCAATAATTACGAAGATAAGTAGCAATCGAACGTATTCCCCTAAGATGAGTTGGCACACACAGAAAAATATCATCTTACTGCTCAAAAAGTGATTATTTAATTTACTTTCGTTTTTTCTTTACAATCCAGAAATTTAATATAGTGGCGCAGCGGGAATCTCGTGTTCTTTTATCAACATTCTCTTTGACATATAAAAACAATCTTAGTTCAAAGACTGAAAAGGTCACCGAAAAAAAATCACACAGACTGTAAGAATTAAATAATGGTTATCTTCATCAGAAAATATTTTCTTGATAATAACTTTAAAATCTATTTACCACAAATTTTAGAAAGGATTTAGAAAACTTACATTATATCATGTACTCAAAAGAAGAATTTACTCTCTTTATGAGAATATTATAAAACTTTATAAATGATAAATATAAATTAAATATTAATATAATTATAAATTTATAAATTTACTGAAATTCAAGATATACCTTAAATAAACCTGATGTGTGCTTATATAATAAATTTGTGAACAATTTGCCATATATATTTTTCTGTGTGTGTAAAAACATTTTTGACTGAATCAATAAAAGGAGTATCTCGCCGATTAATGAATATTCACTCATAGAGAAAATACTCGGTTAAATATGGTTGCCGTAACGAAATATTAATGTTACTTTTTGCTACGCACAAAAGAGCTGCCAAAATCATAATACTCTAGAAGTAGTATTCTACCCTTCTTTATTGTCTATTCATACATATTTGAGAGAAAATTTCAGTAGCGCAACCAAATCCTACGGATCTCTCAACCATAATATTCGTTTCGCAGACCACAACAGAGAGAGACAGCAATATTCTTTCAGCTGAGGCAACTAACTAACTGAACGTATCATAAGAATTGTGGCTGCGAGTATTGTATAGATGGGCACATAACAATAGCAATTTTTAATGCAATATCTGTTTGACTTGAATTTATTTCTTAACCATAGAGAATGTGGCTGGAGCAAACATAACAGTTTTTTCCGTGCTGATATTCAGTGGAATATTCAACTTTTTGTTTTTGTGGCAATAAAATTGATAATTTATATGTGCTTTGCATGCGATGACGCTCAAACAAAACAGAAATTCACGATGACGTCAAAATAATGAGAAATTCATTCATTACGAAGATTCAGGTACGAGGAATCATGATTGAAAAGTGAGTTTTTCAATTTTTCTTTTCATTATTTTGATGTCATCGTTATCGTGAGTTTTTGTTCTGCTTTTCGCCGCTATTAACTGATTCTTTCAGTGAGATTCTACTGATTGCAGTACTATATTTATGGTCAACCTAGCAATTACGATTATAGCATTTCAGTGGAAAACATACTGATTGTACTTTAGAGAGTGAATAACGAATCAGTCAAGCGCGGCGCAGAAGGAGAGTTGAAGCGAGATTTTTTGCCGTCGCGTGAGTATCACGGCCGAAAGTTTAAATCAAATTCAAGCCCGATCCAATTCTCAACCCCCGTTATATTGTACAACATGGTACGAGTGATTTTATCACCTCAGTGAAAGCGGTCGATATCAGTAATAACAACATTTGCAATTCCGATGTGGCGGCTAATTTAAATACACGATCGATTATCGCAGATGTCATTTTCGCGGAATGAGCACGGGGTTGTTGCGTAACTTTATATATCGAAGGTGTGTTTAACGCCCATCGCGCAAAGTATCCGCCCTGTTATAAGATACCTTAATGGACCTCGTATTCTTTTTACAAAGCCGTTCGCGCGCATCATTAACTTGCGCGCTCCAGCAGCTTTTCGCGAACAGAGACAAGTGCCCGACGCGTCTCGCGCTAGGACCGAGGTGAGCCGAGGTGAACTCGGCGAATGAGTTTTCGAATATTCTCGCTGTTGTGTCGAGACAACACGAGCAAGCACGAGATTCCGGAGATCAACGGTGGTTACGCGCGAAAATCCGACGAGCATGATTTACGACAGCGTTGCGCCGACTTCGGTAAGTGCCTCCTTTCCCGTCTCGCTTCACGATACTTTAATTATCCGGAGTTATCTGTGAAGTACGGCCCAAGTTCCCCGATGTTTCAAAGACTCCCTCTTAATGATCGGAATTGCATAATTGAGTAACCGCTGTACTTGGTCGCGCGAGCTGCGAGTGCGGCGGCGTGTGCATGCATTTTAAAAGCGGCGGCACGGCGATACTTGCCTGCTGCTTGGTGATGTATATGGGCTTGTTGAGGATGATCCATGTGGTGGTCTCGTGACACGCCGGCATCGTGGTGGAGCCGTCGTACGTCATGTAATGCTTCGTGTCCGGCAGAAGTTCGCGCACTCCGAAACGTTTAATTTCCATGGCCTGCCCTGTGCAATTCATACGGTCGATAACGTCAACTTCGTTCATGTACATATGCATACACCTGAGGAAACACATGCACACACGTATCCATGCATGGACGGATGGATGGATGGATGCATGCATGCATGCATGCATACATACATACATACATACGTACATACATACATACATACATACATACATATATACATGCATACGTACGTACGTACATGCATGCATGCATGCATGTATACACATGTGTCACTCGATTACATTGACGTCGCGGTACACAGTTGATACGTACACGCCGTTACGTATCGCTAATGTTATCGCGCATACCGCTCGATCATATTTGCATACGTCAAAGAACGCTCGCGTTCCCTTAAAGAATGATGGTAATTATCGATTTATCTTCCACGGACAAAAACTTGGTGACAATAGCACAGACACACACATACACACACACACACACATATGCCGAGTTTTTCGAAACTTATAATGCATGCCAGCGCCGTCGCGTCGTCGTCGCCGCCGAACTTTCGAAGATGCATCAATCTTTCGACTTCGTCATCCGGAAGCACCTTCTTATCCCGACATGTGAACTTATTGGGAGGAGGAGAAAGGAAAACGCAGAATCGACGGGAAGAAAAAGAGCATGTTTTCCGAGAGCAACTCTCTCTTTTCGCTCTCTCGCGAAAATGAAACGCAACGCGTTTATTTAGCCTCGCGTCGGGGTATCGTTTCGATTAAAATACGTTAGCGTACAGATGCAAAATATGACACGCTAACGACATTCACCCTCGTAAAAGAGATATAATGCTATTAATCTCTCTGTTCGTTATGCTAATTCCGGCTCATGTGACGAGGTATCAGAGGGAATTTTTAAAGCGGCACGGGCGAAAATTCACCGGCTAAAACGAGATTATCGCTTCCGCCGAATCTGCTGTCGCGGCTCCCCGGCGGACCGGCGTTCCAAAATAGACGTGGCTCGTAATATTATTGGTTTTCTCACCTCCGTATTTGATTTTATCCAGCTGCTCCGTGAACGTCCTTAGCTCCGGGTTCGAGAGGTCGCCCACCTAGAAAAGGACCGAGAGAAAGAGAGAGAGAGAGAGAGCGTCATATGACGTATCGCTCATTCCGATCTTTATTCGCGGCGTGATAAGCGCCGGCGGCCGAGATTAGGCATGTACCTGCAAAAGAAGCGACACCGCCACGATCCCTTGTGCTCGGTGCAGAGCGTCCGAGAAATTGTTGTAGAGCTGCGAGTTGAAGCCGAATATCTGGAGCTGCGCGAGAACAAAAGGCTTACGACGTACTTAGCGGTTCTAAAACTGAGGCGTCTTTTTCTTTAGAGAGACAACAAGGATTTCTTCCGCAGAGATACGCAAGCAGGGATATTTTCGAAAGAAGCAACCGCGAAACTTGACACCACAACTACCAAAGCACAGTCAAAACGACGGGTTTGTAATTTCTCATAAAAAATTACTCGCGAGTTTATAAAGGTACGTTTTATATATTTCATTGACATATCGAGAGAACAAAACTGAAGCGAGTAACGTAAACGTTCTCTCCCTTGCGCCACGCTCACTGAGAGAAAAAATATCGGAAAAATACAGGATATATTTATTCGGTTGGTACTAACAACATATTTACTTAAATCCAGATTCTCTCGTTTAAATAAAATAAACAGTTATTCTCATGAAAAGCTAAAGTCTTATGGAAACGTATATCTCCCTACTTGAGAAACATTTTATATCAGTACAAATAGATATATTATCAGTCTACACCGAATAAACGTCCTTTATTTCTTAGATATCTTTTCTTTCAGTGTATCTCTTCGAAAATCTGCCCTTTTGACCGCTCTGGTAGAACTGAATCGTCGGTGGTTCTAGTGTCAAGAATTTTATCTTCAATATTTTAAAACAAAAGGAAACAGAGAAAAGTCTGACAGCAAAGAATATTTAATTCAGGACTTAATCGAGTCGCTACGTCTCGCGGTCAGGGATGAATGCAACGCGACGAGGAGATATCGAGACTCTTTGGGAACATTGTTACCGATTTCGATCATTGTCTTCGTCGTTTGGTACCTCGGCAGGGAAGGCGTGCCCGTCGACGGTGTGCTCGCTGCCGATGCGATCGTCCGCGCCGAAGTGCAGATGGATCTCGTGAAACTGATAACGATAACTGAGCGGTCCGCCGGATATGTTGACGGGATGGCGAGTGTCGTTCTCCACGGCGAACACAACGCTGTGGCCGGTGTTCGCCAACACACCGTTGATTCTGTGTTTGTCCAAGTGAAGCGGTTGTAAATTCGGGTCGAAAAGCAGCCGAGTGGGCTCGAGATTGACCGGTGATTGTCTTCGACCTTTGTTACAGAGCCACCATTCCGGGTTGATAAGACCCCAGAAGGCGGGACCTTCGGAAGTGATTAAATTATTCAACGTGCATACTCGACTGCGCAACGTTTCAAGACGTCGATTTAAAAGCGTGAGATTCTCACCGGAAATACCGTCGTACGTCCACCATTCCTCCCAGCTAACGGGTGTCGATTCTGCAAACGTTTCGTTATTAACGAGCAACGTCATTTCCGCGAGACATCTGATGATCACGACGGCCAATTACGACCGATATTCCCGCAGGTTGCGAGATGCGTTTAGTGCTTGCATTTTTTATAGAGAAATAAAAGAAGCGTGGCAAATTTCTACAGCAGACGTCACATATGCTTTAGTTTTATCCTTAGAATAAATAGAGACTCTTAAGCTATACCAAAGCTATATCAAAGGAAATTAGAAAGAAAGAAAGAAAAGAAACAAATAACAGCCAATTTCGCTATAAAGGACCAAAAATTATTTGTCTCTTTTCTTCTTTTACTATCTTTCATTATATATCTTCAATTTCTATTACATATTATCTCTATTAATTGCACCAGACATCTAATAATTACGACGATCAATTACTAATACTTTTAAAAGTAGCGAGATGTGTTTAGTGCTTACATTTTTTATGAAAAAATAAAAAAAATGTAGTGCGCTTTTTATTTATCATATATCACATATGCCTTAGTTTTATTAGAATAAATAGAATTAAGGCCCTTGAAAAAGACAATCAAAGAAGGTAAGAAGCAAATAAGCTTAATTTCTGTCTCTTCATAGAGCTTCAAAAAAGCTCTTATTTGTCTCTTTTCTTCCCTCACTATCTCTGATTAGCATTAGGATATTTGCACGACTTGCAAGCTTACACGTTATAGGGGAGATCCGTTCAAAATAGCCATGCGTTTATATATTTATCGTGAAAGAAACGATAGAAAAGGGATCGCGAAATATTCCTTTTGCAGCATGAGTATTCTTCTCATGATCTAAACGAGGCGTTTTACGATCCCTTCTCCACTGTTGTTCTCACCATAAATATGTGAATGAAACAGACTAACAGGACCCTTGAGTCAAATTGAACCGGTCTCCCCTACACGTAGAACTGAAAATCGCAGTAAACCTGGTGAATAAGTGTCGGAGCATATATGATGAGCGAGGTGTTAGGGGTAACAAAAAAAATACCTTGTATCAAAATGACCACGAACACTCCCCAGACACCCAGGAAGACGGAACTGAAGAGGGCCATTCCTAGCGCTGCGCAGTCTTCGTCAATTGAACATCATTCGGCTCGTTTCTGCGACAAAGAGAGAAGGAGAACCAGTTGATTCGGGGGTTAGGTCGAGTGCGCTCGCGTGTCCCGCGCTCTCACGTGCCCCCTCGAAGGCTCGCGCGCGCTTTCGGAGGTCGCGACTTTCGCCCTTTCGAGCGACTTGTGTAGCCTGAGCCACCCCCTATGCGAGAAAGAAAGAGGGAGTCCGAGCCTGGTAACTTTCGCGAGGAGCAACTCCTCGCGATCCACGATAACGTAATTGATCCGTCAACCTCGCCGGCCAAAAAAAAATTCGCGAACCACCGTCGTCGGCTTCTAATCTAATCGCTCGGCGTCACGCGACGACGGCGACGACTCCTCGCGCGCCGACGCCGCCGTCGAATTTGCATCTGACGCTCGTTCCGCGCGAGGGAGTTATCGCGACGGGCATTTCCCGCGGCGCGATAACCCGCACGTTACGACGCTCGCGGGCGACTCGCGCATTACTGCGGAGCGAAATCTCGCCGTATCTGCCGTGTTACGACGCGCCGAAGCCCAGAGATCGGTCGTTCGCCGTCCTGGTCGGCCTCAGGTGAGGGGAGAGACTCTCATCTTCTTGTGCTTCTCCTCCTTCTGTTTTTTTCTCCTTGCCTCTCGAGCTTATTCTCGACGGGGGGGCGCGTGCAACAAGAGGCCGCCGAGCACCCACGGCAATGAGTGACGCGGCAAGAAAGAAGAGACAAAATCCGCAGTCATCGTTGTCCGGCGTCGCTTAAACGGGGGCGGGGTTCTCCACTTCGATCCCCACTCTGGTCCATTCTGGAGTCCACTCCACCCCCGGGTACCGCGGCACTCGAGCGGCTGTATTCTTAGGTCAGGGAGAACTCGAGTGCGCGGCTCGCTTCGATCGATCGATCGGATCTCCACGTCCACGCGAGGAGGAGCGGCAGAGACAGAGAGAGAAAGAGAGAGAGAGGGTATGTGCTTTCCCCGTGCGCTCGTGAATTTCAAAGGGTGGCCCGCTCTTCGTCGTCGCCGTCGTCTCCGACGCCGCGTCAGCCGCACGACCTCTCTCTCTCTCTTTCTCTCTTTCTTTTTCTCTTACCTTACCTCACCTTACCTTACCTCTTCGATGTATCTTCGGGATAGATACTTTTATCGCGCCGGATCTCGTCGCTGAAATATCTCGAGCCTTCGCGTTCATCGATCGCCCCGCACGTAGCCACTTCATCCTGCTTTAGTCGCCCATCTACCGATACAAACGGATTTTCACCCCCCGAAACGCCGAAAGTTCACGTTCCTCGCGATCCACCGAAGGTGCAAAGGTGAGAGCGCAACGGAAATAGCAGTCCATCGTTCGTATCTACCGGATCAATTTCGGAGGTCGGGACTAACGACGGACTGGATCTTCCTGGATTTTGTAATTACACCCTTCATCGATTGTACAGATAGAGGGGGAAGGTAATGTTTAGTGCGAAAGTCGAGGTAAACGCATCGATTAGACTAGTTCGCGCCGGCGAAACTCGCTCACGTTAATTCTCGCCGCATCAACATAATCCGACCATTTCTGTTTATCTCAGTGATAAATATCATCCGGTTTCAAGGGGAAAAGAAAAAAACAACCAAGCGATTTGATTGGCATTATCTTCCACCGCTGACAGGCACCAGAATAACTTGGCATTTGGACGAGAACACATTTTATAAAACGTTACATTTGCATTGTTACATTTGCGAGAATATCTAACGAGATAATTAAGTCTGACATTACACAATTGATTTTCTATGAACTTTCCGCTGTGTGTAAACATTAAATTAGTGAAGAAGATGTCAAATCGTTTCATCTATAATTCAAATGTTTTCAAGTTCATTTGTTCTTGTCATCGAAAAAGTTGTTTTCGAATCGTCCCTTCGAGATGCTAAGCATTTGATCGAACACTGTTGCACACTCTGTTTACATATTTTCCCGGTCTTCTTGCAGTTTTGTCAGCTTCTTTACTCAACATCGAGCGGAATATTGATTTAACGTCGCGCAGGCCCATCAGATCCACGAGAAGTGACGAAGAGCACGTTTGCCTCTCGTAAAAAATGGAAAAGAATCGGCCCGGGGCATGTTGACGGAGCGACAGAGAGAGTGGTCGACTCAAAATTGTTATCACGGCGGATGGATTCGATTGAACGACGTGGCCGCCGTCTCGGCTAGACGAGACAAACTCACCGCGAAGCAACAAACATTCCGTCCGCGCGATTTGAATCCCTGACCGCGCGCTCGTCGAGCGACGCGCGTGTTTCGGTTCAGCCACGCGCGCACAGGTCACGGCGCCCGACCTGTCGCGGATGTAGAAGGATCGGTCAACCCTCTCTCTCTGACAGACCGTCGCCATCAATCGCGATCTCTCTTCCGCATCAATCGTTCGCAGCCGCGCGTGTCGATTGTCCGCTCAATCGCAACCTCAATTCCGATCGTACACCTCAATTGCAAGCCCTTCGCACGTCACAACTCCCCTATATCTTGATCGTGCACGCCGCGTCCTCGCGCGTCGCGTTATCCTCGCGTCTGCGAATATCCGTTCTCTCTCTCTTTCTTCCCTCCCCCCCTCTTTCTCTCTCTTTCTCTCTCTCTCTCTCTCTCTCTCTCTATCTTTTTCCCGTACGTTCACTCGCTCATGTATCGCTTGTTTTTACTTACACTTCACGATCTCTTCCACCCCAATTGTCTTTTACATCGTACCTTGTATCGCCTCGCTTCTCATATCTGCTGCGCGACGCGGCGCATAGTCGCGCAAAAGACGTGCATCCTGACGTTATCCTTGTGCCAAGAGTATAACTGCACCGATTCGGCCCAGCAATGGTTCTTCACGACGGCACTCGAGACGCTGCCTCTCGAGAGCGCTCTACTGCTGCGGATCGCGGATGATCGAGAGACACAGTAGAATGCACAAAAAGAGGAATAGAGAAATAGAGGGAGATAGAACTAGAGAGGGAGATAGACGGAAGGGAAGAGGGCGACCAAGATAAATAGATAGATAGATAGATAGGAAGAGAGAGAGAGAGAAAGAGAGAGAGAGAGAGAGAGAGAGAGAGAGAGAGAGAGAAAGAGAGAGAGAGTAGGTGCACGCAGGTGCGACGAGGGGCAGGAGCCCGCGCGAATCGATCGCGGGGCCGCGACGCGAAACGCCGCGACGCGGCGACGAACGGTGCGGCCGAAAATTCGCGTGACGAGCGAAACGGTGAACGCGCGCGGCGTCTCTCCTGCGGAAATCAATAAGCGACGATCGCGAGCGTTGTGCGAGGAATCCTCGCGCGTCCACGTCCACGTCCTCGTCCTCGTCGCCCGACACTCTCACGTCGACGGATCGACTCCGGCGGCGGCGTACGCGCGCGTACCGGCAAAATTTCGCGATTTCAAGCTAGAACCCCCTCGAGGAAGAAAGAGAGAAAGAGAGAGAGAGATAGAGTCTCGCCTGTCCCTCCTCAGTCACGGGAATACTGACCGTGGACGACGAACAGGAGACGACGTCTTCCTTTTCCTCCTCCTCCGCCTTCTCCACCGGCGCACCACTTGTTCCACCACTTCTGCCGTCGACGGCGGCGACGACGACGCGCGCCACGCAAGCCGGACTCCTCTTCGAGGACGATGCCGGAGGACGATGCCGCCGTGCAGCGTCGCGGCAGGTTCGCGCGGCTCCGGAGCCCCGAGAGCTACCTCTCTCCGGATACTCCCTTTCTTCTATCCACCCGCCACCCTTGCTTCCTCGTCCTGTCTCTCTCTCTCTCTCTTCTTTTCCTCCTTCTGTACCTCTTCTACCGCCTCCTCTTGCTCTCCCCGTTCGCCGCTTCTTTTTGCCCGATCACGGAATAATTTCGTTAAAAGCGCACGGCGGCGAAGGAACGACGAAGGAGGAACGACTGCCCTACGAGGCGACTGTATACGTCCCTCCTCGCGCGCGCGTACTCACCCCCCGTCACCCCTTTCTCGCGCGGTGTCTTTCTCTCTTTCTCTAGCGGCGACCAACCCTCGGCGTCTTTCTCCCACGGCAGTATCGCGGCGCACGCGCCAGGTGGGTCCTTTCTCTCTGCCCTCCGCGTGCGCGCTCCGTCCTCTGCCCTCTGACTGTCTTTCCTTCTCTATTTCAACCCCTCCGCGCCTCCTCACCCTCTCGTGCGCGCGATCTATTTCGTATTCGTTCCTCCTGCGCGCGGCCCGTTGCTCGCTCGCTACGTTCGCGTTTGTTCGGCCGCCGCATCGACGCGTCCGCGGACACGGAGAGGACGAGACTTTCATGCTTCCATCGCTCGTTCCTTCGTCGACTCGCGACCGTCGCCGTCGTCCTCGGCCTCACCAGGACGTCTGCGCACTCGGAGAGGTTCCCGCGAATCGGGACGAATCGCATCGGCAACAAGGACACGGAGGAAAGAGACGCTCCAACGTTCTCTCTTTCTCTCTCTCTCTCTCTCTTTCGGCATGGATCGCCGCGCGCGAACCGGCTCGAGTTACGGCGAATTGACCTATTTGCGGAAGAAGGGGTGGCTTACGTTTCTCTCCTTCGTGAGGGAGAGGATTCCTGCCGCCTGCGAGGAACCGTCCGGAACCGTAAGCCGGATAAGGGCGCGCGATGTCGGAGAGCGCGACCTCAGCGAGAGAGAGAGAGAGAGTTCTCTCTCTCTCTCTCTCTTGCAATTTCCCTTCTCTCTTTGTATGCAAGCGACGGCACACACCGGTTCGATCGCGCGACGCGGGCATCGGAAAATCTTGGAGAAGATCCCCGTTTCACCCCTTTCTCCCTACTACCTCGCATCCCCGTCGAACTGGCGTTTCTTTTCTTCTCGGGACTTACCGCGCGTAACCAGAGCGCGCTATTATATCGGGCATTCGGTCGATCCCGGGGTTGCTCCAGCTTTTCGGAGGAAGTATGCTAGGAATTTATAGAATCCACCGGGGATATCGGCGAACTGATCTCGACGCATCTAGGTATTTCTTAGTTCAACATTGGCGCGAATATACGAATGTGAACGCGGCTGTTCGTTCAGCATAATTAATCCCGCGTCCGAGAAACGACAGATATGCTGACTCGTATTCGACGATGCTTAAATATTTAACTTAAACATATTTAATTTATTTACGTGTCCGATCAGTGTGGGCTACTTTTACTAATCGTTTCTCTGCGTACACGATATCGATCAGATGTATCAATTATAACGGTAACAGTTTTAACAGCTGAATTGAATCCGCAGTGGATAGCTCTTTTCGTTCAATCTTCGCACGTACGTCTGCCGTGGAAGGGGGAAAGTCGTGAAAATCTTGAGTTTCGCGTGCTGAGGAGACACGACAATCTCGCGACAACCTTCTGGATCACTTCCGCGACTCTCCTCGCGACTAAAGGGTGTCTCTCTCTCTCTCTCTCTCTCTCTCTCTCTAACTGAAGAATGAGCTAGAATGCAGGCGATATCGGTCTGCGCTAATCCTGTCATCGACATCGGGCCTGCGGAACTTTACGGCGACTTTCGGCTCCTCCTCAGCCGGGGGTATATCGATAGACACATCGGGGCGAAATTACGCTCGGGGATCCTCTGGCGTTGGCGTTTCGAGGTCACCGGGCGCCCCCGCCAGGATCTCCGGCGCGGATACACCGAAAAGCCCCTGACTGGTCGACTACGCGGAGGCGCTTATCGATTTTCAAAGCAGCATTGCCCCGCGTACGCCGCTCTCCAGGTCGTCGTCGGCGTCGTCGTCGTCGTCCTCGTCCTCGTCGTCGTCGCACGCGAGAGACAGAGAGATAGGCAAAGAAAGAGAATAAAAAGGAGGAAAGACAGAGACAGACAGAGAGAGAGAGAAAGAGAGAGAGAGAGAGAAAGAGAGAAAGAGAAAGGGAGAGAGAGAGAGAGGAAAAAGAGGCGAGAGGTTTCGGCACGACCGTGCAACTGGCCGATGCGACGCGTCCGAATGTCCGGATGCACTCTCGCGGCTGCATCTGATTGCCCGTTGCACATGCAAGCGCCGCCGGTCTCGTCGCTGGATATTGGATTCGCCGCGAGACTTATGCTCGAGCTTCGCTCGCGTGTGTCGGCACGTCCCACAACGCGCGCGGCAGCGAGCGACGATTATGGGTTATCGATATTGCGGACTTAGCTCGCCACGTCGTGCCGCGTCGGCCGCCTCATGGATATGCAAAAATGTAAAAACGCCCCAGACAACGGGGGCGGGAGTGTTTGGCCGGCGGATCGTGTCGCCCTGGCGTGGGCAAACTAGTTTGCCTCTTTCGGTGAACACGCCAAGAGACGCCCGGCAGCACCGAAAGGCTGCGGCCACTGAACAAATTCAGGGCGGTGTTTTTGGCCGGTGTCCGATAGTATGACGGCGAGAAGTGACGTCGACAAAAAGAGGCGACTGTGCGCGAAAGACGGAGCAGAGGGGAGCAGAGAGGTAGAGAGAATCACATGAAACTACCGCGATAAACTGATGTATACGTGAACTTTACGGCAATTTCAAGTATATTAAATCACGGAATTCGGCGACGTTGAGTTATGACTGATCCTTATGATTGATCAGATCGCACTCATATTTATCGCACAGAATGACGAGACAGAAATGCGAAAGAAACACGAAAAACAACATGTCACGTTAAATGTAATATCATAATCTGAGTGTAACTTTAGTGATCTTGTCGCATCAATGTGACAGAAAATGTAAATTTAATGCACGATTGCATTATGTAAATTTAATGATTAATTTAATCAGTATATTTACTTCATTAATGTAATTAAAAAGATTGTTAAGTTTCCATCATCGATTGTGCGTCTCACGCTGTGATAATCATGAAAGTCTAGGGTGGCCGCGCGCACAAAGCAAAGATAAATGCCGCTCGTTGGTGCACGAGAGAGAACATTGTAGAATTACAGTAATGAGCGCGTGTTTGTGCGCGATGGAGACGATGTTGGCGACGTCGTGCTTTACGTCAAATCGCTTATGAGCAAAGAAATTTTCGCATTAATTAAGAGAAAGATGTGATAAATGAACGTTCGCCCCACGGACAGAAAAAAAGGAGGAGAGAGGAAACACGCGGTGGCTTGACTCCATTAAGCTTCTCATGTATTTATCATAAGCCTGCTCTCCCACTTCAAACACGGCAGTGTTCTACTTACATGAGATAGCGGGCGGTTCATCTTTGCGAAAATGTATAGGAGCATCTAACCGTGTCACGTGACATTATGTTCTGTCAAAACTTGGGGCGGCTTTAGAAGCGTTATTAACGACTGCAACATTTCCATATCACATATTTCACCGGCCGCGCGTCCCGAAACGTTATACAATACGATTACCCGACCCGAAAATGCGAGTTTAAATTAGTGATTACGTTGCAAATTTCGGAAGTTAAATTAGGCAATTCATGCATCGCGCGCCGCCCCTGCAGAAACGCGATAAATATTTCGGAAGCTTTCGACTCTTTCAATGTCCGTTTGAGCGCGTAATTGCTGTAATTTGATAGCATAAGCACCACGTGGTTTATGAATAGTTATTCATGCATTATTATTGGCTCCGACTGCGACAATCTAATTATTATCAGTTTCCGATATCGTATTTATTAGCGGAGCCGCCCACTCGCGGAGAGCCGGCGGATGTGACTCGCGGACATGAATGAAATGGTATGTGGCCTAAGAAAAGACGACAATCCTGATATGAAAATAGTAACGTCCGAGAATATACGATACTCGAGTCCTTCCCCTCGCATGGAAAAATCGCAATCGCATTAGCATTTTTGACGCCACGTTCTCTCAGAGCGGATGGAACGCGCGAAACCAGCTTTCCGATATTCCATAAGGGTTCTTCTGTTCCTTCGCGAGATCGGCCCCGCTTCACCCCTAGATTCGCGTTCTCAGTTTTAAAGCCGCCCGAGAAATCACGCATCGAGTATCCCACTTTATTTTCGTGTCGCTTACACGAGCATTGAATTTCCTTTTACGAGATTCAAATAACCGAGGACATCGCGCCGAGAATTCCTGGCAGCGATACGTCTGTATATGTGACAATAACGAGTGGCAGCTACTACATAAAGAAAAAGAAACAAAAAGAGCGAAAAGAAAGAGATGAAAAAAGGACACAAGGATGAAAGAACGAAACATTCACTCGAAATTACTTCTTCGTCAGTGTGGCAGCGATGAGACATTCTTTTCTGGAGAGAGTCGAATGTAGAAATGTCGACGGTGAAAATCCAATAGAAATCACGGCGCTCGCAATGTGATATCGAGGCAAGGTAGGGATTACCGTACGGACGAGAATAATGCGTGCCGTTACGTGACGATGGCGAATTACAATGACGACTCCCGTTACGATGTGAGATGTAAAATAAATATGATACTGTCTCTTTCTCTCTCTCTCTCTCTCTCTGTACTGTATGATTACGGGTGTGACTACAAAAGGCTCTTGAGTGCCCAACGATTTCCTGTGTTGCTTCCTCAAACTTTAGCGTGGCTTCTTTCTTT